TACTTTTACTACTTTTGGAAATACGATCACTACTACTACTACTACTACTACTACTACTACTACTACTACTACTACTACTACTACTGCTGCTACACGTGCTACTACTACCACTACGAATACGAACATTACTACTATTACAAGTCATCCCACTAAGACGGCTAGTAGTGGGACAACCTCTAGGATATTCGCATTGCTGCTGTTCCTACTTGCTCCGGCACTTCGCTGTTTGACTCCATGGGGCAAGTCTCCGTGAGTAGGAACTTCGCATCCAGAACGGTGAGTTTGCAACTTCTCATGCCGCACGAAGAGTTTGCACTCCATGGTCGCAGCCAAAGCGGTGAGTTTGCAACTTCTCAACACGCCTCAGGCAGCGAAGTGCGTTCCTCATGTGGGACGACGGAGATCTGGAATTATATGACAATCATGTTAAACTTGATTCTTGGGCTTACGCCGTCGTGCCTGGCTTGCGGGTCTGAGGCCACTCGGATGGCTGATAGGGGTCTCGTGGGGGGCGTCTCGGGGGCGTCTTGGAGGCAGTTTTGAACCTCTTGGGGGACTCCTGGGGGTCTCTTGGTGGACTTTTGCTGCCATCTTGGAGCTCCCTGGGGGCCTGTTGTGGGCTTCTTGGGGCCACTCGGAGTCGTCTTGGGGTGGAAGACTCGGAATGTCCGTTCGCGTTCTCCCTCTGGGGGCTGTCCTGGGGCCCTCCTGGGCCGTCTTGGGGGCTTCTCGGGCCGTCTTGGGGCCCTCTTGGGTCGTCTTGGAGCTCTCTCCGGGGGCGTCTTGGCCCGTCTTGGGGCGATCTTGAAGGCCTCTTGGGCCGCCTGGGACGCTGTGACCCCCCAAGAGGCGAATGTGCTACAAATGAACGTTTTCCAAAGGGAATGAGACGATTTTTGCTTTTGGAGGCTCTCTTGGGAGGCCTCTTGAGGGCTTCTTGTGGCGTCTTAGGGGGCCTCTTGTGCCATCTGGAGGCCAGCGTGGGCGTTTTGGATCGATCTTTCAGCGACTCGTGGCCCTCGTGGACCGCCCCAAAGGCCTCCACCCCTTCCAAATCGACCGGACCGGGCTTCCGGGGGAGGGGTCTGGGGAGGGGAAAACATTTCACGCGCCGATGAACCCCAGAGGGTGGGCGGATTTTGTTCGCGTTGTTGGGGATTGCCCTTCCTGGTTGTTGTGTGACCTTCTGGGGAAGCCTTTGATGGTTGGAAAGTTTCCCTTCTGGTTGCAAAGAGGTGTTCCGTTCCGTGTGTAAAGAGGCATGCATACAAGCCCGTACCTCCCCCCCGTACCCCCCCCTACCCTCCCCCTACCCCCCCTGGTCAGGGAGTGGAAGCAGGAGAGGGAATCGACTTACGACGACGACGAAGACGAGGAAGAGGACGAGGACGACGACGAAGACGACGACAGTGTGCAACTCTCGTCGTTATATTTGGTCGCGTCGGGTAGTGAGATCCGACGTTGCGAACAGACAGCATCATCTGCTGCAAGTTTCGAGCTGGATCGCTCTGAGATGGGCTCCGGGGCTCGGAGCTGAGCGCCAACGCCCAGCGTGACAAAAATGGCATCGCCTGGATCTCCTCCTCCTCCTCCTCCGCCTCCTTCTCCTCCTCCTCCTCCTCCCTCCTCTCCTCCTCCTCCTCCTCCTCCTCCTCCTCCTCCTCCTCCTCCTCCTCCTCCTCCTCCTCCCACCCTCCTCCTCCTCCTCCTCCTCCTCCTTCTCCTCCTCCTCCTCCTCCTCCTCCTCATCCTCCTTCATCCTCCTCCTCCTCCTCCTCCTTCCCCCTCCTCCTCCGTCCTCCTTCCTCCTCCTCCTCCTCCCCTCCTCCTCCTCCTCCTCCTCCTCCTCCTCCTCCCCCTCCTCCTCCTCCTCCTCCTCCTCCTCCATCCTCCTCCTCTCCTCCTCCTCCTCCTCCCAGCTCCTCCTCCTCCTCCCTCCTCCCTCCTCCTCCTCCCTCCTCCTCCGCCTTCCTCCTCCTCCTCCCCTCCTCCTCCTCCTCCTTCCTCCTCCTCCTCCTCCTCCTCCCCTACCTCCCCCTCCTCCTCCTCCTCCTCCTCCACCTCCTCCTCCACCTCCTCTTCCCCTTTTTCCCCCCTCCTCCTCCTCCTCTCCTCTCCTCCTCCTCCCTCCTCCTCCCCCTCCTCCTCCTCCTCCTCCTCCTCCATCCTCCTCCTCCTCCCCTCCTCCTCCTCCTCCTCCTCCTCCTCCCCCCCTCCTCCCTCCTCCTCCTCCTCCTCCTCCTCCTCCTCCTCTCCGCTCCTCCTCCTCCTCCTCCTCCTCCTCCTCCTCCTCCTCCTCCTCCACACCCGTTCGCGCCTGGCAGAGTTTGGCGGGGGAAGGACAGGGACACATCGTTTAAGAGCCTTTCAGAAGGCTCTCAGAGTGTTCCAGAGCGCTCCAGAACGGCCGCGGAGCCTGATCTATCCTCCGTGGCCCTCGAGTTTCAGAGATCCCCCAGTTATCCCAGGCTGATCTTGTCCCTGTCCTGGTTTCGTCTTAATTAGGTTTCTGGGCGCCCCAAATGGCGTGGTGACCACACCAAGTTGTGAGTCAGTGGGGATTCGGGGTCACCGCACGGTTTTGAGCCCCGGGTCGTTTTCCGAGGACGTCTCGGGCGACCGGGGCCTCTAAGGTCCCAAGACCGTGCGGTGACGGATCGCGCGGTGAGGTCTCTTGGGGGTCCGAGGTCACCACGCGGTCCGTCACCACGCGATTTGGGGGCCCCCGATTGGGGTTGGTCGCGTCGGGCAGGGGGGCCTCCACCACCACCACTACCACCACCTCATCCTCTTCCTTTTCCTTCTCAATATATATATATATATATATATATATATATATTTATATGTACACACGGTATATATATATATGTATATATATATATATGTTTATATATATATGTATATATATATATATGTATATCGGCCCTGGTGTCGCACCGACGCTGCCATCCCCCCCTTGGGCCGGTCGGCCCTGGGGGGGTTGATCAAACTTGTGGGCCAGGCGAATCCAGGGGCTGTAGCCCTTGAAGTCGCCAGCGGGTAGGTTTCGAACTCAAGAGGGAAGGAAGGTCAGCAACCGAAGAAGAGAGATGAGATAAGAGGAACCTGGAAGAGGAGGCCTCCTCATTCTCTTCCATCTCCTCCTCCTCCTCCTCCTCCTCCACCTCCTCCGCCTCCTCCTCCTGCCTCTTCCTTCCGTGGCCTGCGTTTTCTTTTTTGGAGGTGAAACGGCCTGTTGCGACCAAACAAATCCTCCTCCTCCTCCTCCTCCTCCTCCTCCTCCTCCTCGTTTCCCCGAGGGTGTGGGCCTGGACCTTGTTCTCATGGTGTCAGCGCCACACACTCCTCGGGGCACACTGTCCGTGTCAATTGCATGCGGCGTCTGGGGGCAGATAAACCGGCTTTCGTCGTTCTTGCACCAGCCACGTGGCACTTTGCCCGTGGCAGCGGCGCGTTAGCTGCGCCCGTGACCTGGAGATGGGTACCAGGCGCGGGGAGTGTGCATTTGGTTTAGAGGCGAGGCCATGTGGTCCGTAAGTCCTTGGGACCTTGTGTCCGCTCACCCTGGGGTACAAACCCAGTTGCACATGCCATCCGATTCGGCAGGGGTGACGGTCGGGAAGTACTGCGCGGTGACGCGGTGAACCGGCTGTCCCCCTACGCACCACGCCGTCCCGGTTGGGCAGCGAGTCGCTGAGCGACGAGGTATTTGCCTTTCCCCTGACCGTCGGTGCTGGCGCCTGCGGGCCCCTTCCTCCTGTCATGGGAGGCCGAGGGTGACGGTTGAGCATCGCTCGCCGTTCACTTCCTGGATCTATGACACTCATGACACTCCTCCTCCTCCTCCTCCACCTCCTCCTCCTCCTCTTCCTCCTCCTCCTCCTCTTCCCCCTCGTCCTCCTCCGCCTCCTCCTCCTCACTCCTACCTCCTCCTGCCTCCTCCTCTCCTCCTCCCCCTCCACCACCTCCTCCCCCTCACCCTCCTCCCCCCCTCCCCCTCCTCCTCCTCTTCCCTCTCCTCCTCCTCCTCCTCTTCAATCTCATCATCATCATCATCATCATCATCAATCTTATCCTCCACTCCTCCTCCTCCTCCCCTTCTCCTCCTCCTCCTCCTGCCCTCACCCTCCTCTTCCTCCTCCCTCCTCCTCCTCCTCCTCCCCCTCCTCCTCCTCCTCCTCCTCCTCCTCCTCCTATTCTCCCTCTCCTTCTCCCCCACAAATTATTCAATTTGAACCTACTCTGACTCTTGCCTATTCCCCTGATGACGGTTTGAAGATATTCGCCCCCCCCCCCCGCGTATTGTTTTTTACACACAGGATTCCCCAGAGTTGGGTTATCGCCTCCACGTTTTCCAAAATGCTGCTCTCGCTGAGGCGCTGGTTTCATTTTCGGGCCCCGCTCGTTCCGAATCGTGATCCCGCTGCAGCGTTGGCCTCATTTCCGTGCTTCCGCTCGTTCCGAATCGTGCTCCCGCTGCAGCGCTGGCCTCATTCCCGTGCTTCCGCTCGTTCCGACTCGTGCTCCCGCTGCAGCGCTGGCGTCATTTCCCGTACCATGCCACGGCATGCAATGCAATGCTAGGTTGATACTACGCTTTGCGGTGCTCTTCTACGCCATCCCATGCTGTGCTCTACAATGCATCGCGTACCCTTTCGGGATCATTGCCCTGCTCGACATCCGACTGTGCGAATAGAGAGGGGATCTACTCCATAGTAAGGGACGGGAGGGAGGGGTAGGGTGTCAGATATGACGCGAGCGCACCTAGCTTGTCCCATTCCCCCTCCCCCTCCTCCTCCTCCTCCTGCTGCTGCGCTGCTCCTCCTCCTTCTCCTCCTCCTCCTCCTCCTCCTCCTCCTCCTCTTCCTCCTCCTCCTCCTCCTCCTCCTCCTCCCCCTCCTCCTCCTCCTCCTCCTCCTCCTCCTCCTCCTCCTCCTCCTCGGATCTCAGGGCAGGTCCCGCAGACTCGCCCGGCGCCCGCCCGCCGCGGCCCGCCGGAGAGCCATGCGGTGCGCGGCCCCGGGCGCTGCGCGCGGGGCCGCCTCGCCCTGCGGGCCGGGCGCGCCCGAGAAGCCTCGCGGGGCGCCCGCGGCCGAGGACCGCGCCGCGCCGCCTGGGGCCCTGCCTGCTCTTCCTCCGCCCCAAACCCCTTTTCAGAGGAGGAAAAGGTACCCAGCTCGCCACCCTTCCCTCGCTCTCTCCTCCTTTTGGGCCTCTTGGGAGGCCCTCGTCGCCACCGCCGGATGCGCCGCGAATTCCTGGTCAGAACGCACCCCAGGAGAGGCCTGGGGAGTAGCAGTATGAGTACCTTTTGGTGCCCCCACCCTCGCGTTGTGAAACATCACGGCGGGCGTTTTTGTTGTTGAACATTATTTCTTCTTAAGAATAATTATTGTTGGGACCCCTGGTGCGCGACCCCCCTCCAAAACCTAGGCCGCAGCTACATTTTCATCATTTTTTAGCGAAAGCTTCAGAAAAGTGAATTATTACCGGATCCGGTTGTTTTGTTGTACTCCGTTTTCCCTTGCAAAAAACACTATAAATGAAAATTCTTGTTCTTACTTGATCAAATTGCAAGAATCCCTTGCAAAAAATAAGGTAAAGTGGACATTCGTGCGCGCAAGACGAAATCCTTCCAAAACCTTAGGTTTCGTAGCGATTTTAACATAAAAACATCAAAAACCCAATGGTTTTTTAAGAAAAATTGTCAAAATGTTCTTCCGCGCGCTCTTGCGGATTCGTAGGAAAACCAACACTTTTTAAACAATTCTGTCAAACGGGCTTTTGCGAACAACTTTTTCGAACTTCTGCGACAACGTTTGCGCACCTGCCAGGGCCATCATCCCTGTCAAATAATACCATGCGGGACATATTCGTTTTTTCTTCGCGCGCGCACGCCGAAATCTCCAAAAATCATTGGGTTTTTAAGAATTTTAGCACCGCGCATCATAAAATCACACGAATCGCACCGTAGGTCCTCGAAAAACACCTGCACGACTTTTCAAAATTTCCACCCGCGCGCGCTGTCCGTTTTCAAAAAACCAATGGTTTTCCAACATTTATGTTACATGAGCTCGCGCGAGCTACTTTCGCATCTTTGCATCGGGGTTCGCGCGCCTGCCAGGGGCCAGAATCCCTTGCGGTTGCGCCATATGTTGCGCCCTCGGCCGCCGAGAATAAAACGCCCCTCTATTGGTTGCGTCATAGGTTGCGCCCTCGGCCGCCGAGAATAAAACGTCCCCCTACTGGTTGCGCCATAGGTTGCCCCAGGAGGCCTTCAAGAGGCCCCAAGAGCCCCAAGTTGCTCTGCGGGTGTGTCCTCCACGCCAGTGTAGTATCCACGATCGTCCGCGCGCCACGAAGTGAAGTGTCCTGACGTCATAGGGCGGGAAGCTGGGTGTGGGTGGTTCCCGAGAGTCGTGTGGATGTTTGGTAGATCTTGCATTGCCCCCCCACGAAGTGGGGGTATTGGCTGGCGTCGCATGAAAACCCTGGCACTGGGGAGAACACTGAGCGTTCGGGTAAAATGATTGTTGTTGGTGTTGTTGTTGTTGTTGTTGTTGTTTTGAAACATTTTAATTCTAAAGAATAATTATTGTTTGGGGCCCCTGTTGCACGTCCCCCCTGCGCTCACGTCCCCCCTGCGCTCGCCGCCTAGGCCGCAAGCTGCGGCTTGGAGTCCTCGGCATCATTTTCGTGAGGGAGCCTCAGGTAATTCGATGTGATCAAGATCCGGTTGTTTTGTTCCCCCCCGCTTTCCCTTGCAAAAAACACTATAAAATGACATTTCTTGTTCTAATATAATCAAATTTCAAGAATCCCTTGCAAAAAAAAAGGTAAAGTGGACATTCGCGCGCGCAAGACGAAATCCTTCCAAAACCTTAGTGTTCGCAGCGATTTTAACATAAAAACATCAAAAAACCAATGGTTTTTCAACAAAAAAATGTCAAATCTCATCCCGCGCGCTCTTGCGGATTCGTAGGAAACCCAACACTTTTTAAACATTTCTGTCAAACGGGCTTTTGCGAGCAACTTTTTCGAACTTCTGCGACAACGGGTGCGCACCTGCCAGGGCCATCATCCCTGTCAAATAATACCATGCGGGACACATTCGTTTTTTCTTCGCGCGCGCACGCCGAAATCTCCAAAAACCATTGGGTTTTTTAAGAATTTTAGCACCGCGCATCATAAAATCACACGAATCGCACCGTAGGTCCTCGAAAAACACCTGCACGACTTTTCAAAATTTCCACCCGCGCGCGCTGTCCTAACAACTTCTGTGGGTGTGTACTCCACGCCAGTGTAGTAGCCACGGTCGCCCGCAGGCCACGAAGTGAAGTGTCCGAACGTCATAGGGCGGGAAGCTGGGTGTGGGTGGTGGCGAAGAGTCGTGTGGATATTTGGTAGAGCTTGCACTGCCCCCCCCCAAAGTGGGGGTATTGGCTGGCGTCGCATGAAAACCCTGGCACTGGTGAGAACACTGAGCGTTCGGGTAAAGTGATTGTTGTTGTTGTTGTTGTTGTTGTTGTTGAACATTATTACTTCTAAAGAATAATTATTGTTGGGGCCCCTGGTGCACGCCCCCCCCGCCGCGCCTAGGCCGCAGCCTCATTTTCATAATTTTCGTGAGGACGTCTCAGGCAAAACGATGTGATCCAGATCCGGTTGTTTTGTTGTCCCCCGTTTTCCCTTGCAAAAAATAAGCTAAAGTGGACATTTCTTGTTCTAACATAACCAAACTTCAAGAATCCCGTGCAACAAATAAGGTAAAGTGGACATTCGCGCGCGCAAGACGAAATCCTTCCAAAACCTTAGTGTTCGTAACGATTTCAACATAAAAACATCAAAAAACCAATGGTTTTTCAAAAAAAAGTGTCAACATTTCATCCCGCGCGCTCTTGCGCATTTGTCGGAAACCCAACACTTTTTAAACATTTCTGTCAAATGGGCTTTTCCGAGCAACTTTTTCACGTGCTTCGAACTTCTCCAACAACCGTTGCGCACAACATTATTACTTCTAAAGAATAATTATTGTTGGGGCCCCTGGTGCACGCCCCCCCCGCCGCACCTAGGCCGCAGCCTCATTTTCATAATTTTCGTGAGGACGTCTCAGGCAAAACGATGTGATCCAGATCCGGTTGTTTTGTTGTCCCCCGTTTTCCCTTGCAAAAAATAAGCTAAAGTGGACATTTCTTGTTCTAACATAACCAAACTTCAAGAATCCCTTGCAACAAATAAGGTAAAGTGGACATTCGCGCGCGCAAGACGAAATCCTTCCAAAAGCTTAGTGTTCGTAGCGATTTCAACATAAAAACATCAAACAACTAATGGTTTTTCAACAAAAAAATGTCAAAATCTCATCCCGCGCGCTCTTGCGGATTCGTAGGAAACCCAACACTTTTTAAACATTTCTGTCAAACGGGCTTTTGCGAGCAACTTTTTCGAACTTCTGCAACAACGGTTGCGCACCTGCCAGGGTCATCATCCCTGTCAAATAATACCATGCGGGACACATTCGTTTTTTCTTTGCGCGCGCACGCCGAAATCTTCAAAAACCATTGGGTTTCGTAGGAATTTTAGCACCGCGCAACATAAAATCATACGAATCGCACCGTGGGACCTCGAAAATCGTCGTCGGCATGTTACCGCAACAGGTCCGTGTGTCACCACATCATCGAACAAAATCATTGATCACTGTCACATCCGTAGCCATCTCGGATCAAGGTATCGCCTGTGTTCTTGGATGGGTCATGGCTTTGTCGGCGAAAGCCCTTGACGAGCAGTATGGCCCAGAGCTGTCGCGGCCTCCTTTGGCCGACTGCGGCAGCCCGTATTATTTGCATCAGGCGTTCGTTGCAAAGGGTATCCAGGTCAGTCACCAGGCGTGCAAGCTTTGGTGGTGCAAGTATCGGGTTGTGCCTGGCACGGTCAGTATTTCTAGCGCCAAGGAGCTGGAGGAGCAGCACGGCTCTGCCATCCGCCACCTGGGCATCCAGTATAATACAGCTTTCAAATTATGCGGGGCGCTCCGACAGTTGGATCCACCACTGTATGTGTCAGATAAGGTCGCAACGACGTGGCTACTGCAGTATTCTTCCAAAGAGACGCTTGTCAAAGTGCAGAACGCTGGCCATCTGGAGACCTGGTATGGAGAACGTATTCGCACAGACATGCCCGAGGGGACTACTGACGGGGCCGTCTTGAAGCAGTGGCTCCTGGGACATTTATCTGCATCTGCTGACGCCAGGGTATGCCAGAAGTGGCTCAGCACGGAGTGGGGCGCCAAGGGAGCATTGAATACTGCCCAAGCTGTGGAGGAATGTATAGGCCAGCGTCTTCGACTCAATCAGTATCGGGAGAGCTTCGCCGACGAGGCCGCCGCGGAGGTCCTCTCGCAGCTTCTCTCGGAGAGCGATCCTCCCGTCGCTGTCAGCGGTATGGTTTTGAGGCAATGGTACGTGAAGTATCACCCTGACTCCGGACCTTTGCAGTATGACACGGCTGAAAAGCTCGACGCGGCACTTGGTGACCACATGCGCGCGGTATATCCAGGGCTGAAGTACCGCACGTTGCATGCCGCGTTGCGTATGCGACGGAAAGCTGTCTTGGTGTCCCGAGGAGTGTTGAGACAGTGGTGCGATGCGTATGCGTCGGTGAGCTCTTCAGTGCAGGCGGCGGCTTCATCCGCCCAGGCCGTCACCAGGCGTGTATTGAAGCGCCCGGCGGCGCAGGTCGCAGGCGGGGTATTGAAACGGCCAGCCGCCGCCGGAGCTGCCCGCGTGGCCAAACGGCCTGCCGCGGTCGACTGGGAGGAGCCCGTATCGAAGCAGCAGGCCACGGCAGCTTCTTCCTCCACAGATGTGGTTTGTATAAAGCTGCTGACGGGGGATGCTGTAGAGGCGGCATGCGGCAAGCGGTATCGAGAGCAGGTCTCCGACTTGGGCCTTGGCCTCACTTACCAGAATATGCAGGTGCGTCTGAAGGCCTGGGGGTATGAGGCGGGTCCATATGCCTTGCGAGAGTGGCTCGGCAAGTATCGACTCGGAGACGGTGCCAAACATGGCAATTGCGCCGTCTACGCGTTGTCGCGCAGGGAC